CATTGAAGGTGCAGCAGCAGAACATATTTGAGCTTTTCCACCCACTCTGTTTGCTGAGCTTATACATCACGCTGTGTGTGTGAACACACACACACACACACACGTATACACTCGCATGCACAAATTAGGTCGAGTGGGTTGCTGATTAGGCTGTGGTGATTTGGCACAATCACTACAATTTGTGTTATTAATTTAAGAGTTACCACATGTCACACACCTGAGTCAACACAAGCATGCATACATTTTTAACAAAAACGCTGAAAGGTGCAGATCAATGCGTGCGTACAAGCGGACACACACATGCACATCCACACTTGCTCACAGTTGACACGATTTACTTGAATCCATTAAAGCTGAATTTACATAATACTGTCTCTGCTTAACTGCCTCTGCAGGGACACAGCACACACACACGTACACACACACACACGACAGTAGTTTTTGTGTAGTGGCTGCTGCAAGGTCATCAACACTGCAGTATACATGCATGTGTGTGCCTGCATGTGTGTGTGTGTGTGTGTGTGTGTGTGTGTGTGCTGTGTGTGTTCTTCCCTGCAGGCTGAACACACATTATTGCTCTAATTAAGACACTCTGTCTCCGTATGTGCTGGTCTGAGATCAGCTGTCAGGTGCCAGCTGGCTGTGATATTTATGGTCCGAGGTTTCAACAAAAGCTGCTCTCAGACCAGCTGAAGTCTGCAAGCAAAATTGTTGATCTAGCTGTTGCTGCTTTGGATGACTGGTGCTCATGTTGCACTGCGATTTTCTGTGATGTTATTCGTCTCAAATTGGTCTCACACTGTTAAGTTTGTCATTTCTGAAGACTAAAGTTCATAATTTATACTTGCACTCATACATATACTTGCAGTATGTGTGATGTATATTTTTTTATGCTTAATAATGAATAACATAGTGTGGGTGGCCCAAAACTTGTCATATTTTTGACTAAATCTCGCTGTGTGTGTCATGTTCAGCTGACATTTAGCTAGTAAGAGAGATGTTTAACCTACCACTTTCACCCTCCTCTGTCTGTGTCCCACTCATAAAGGTCTGTTTAAAAGAAAAAGGAAAAAAAGAAACTAGTAATATTAAACTATTGTCACACTTTATTAACTGCATCCAGAGGGAGATGGTGGTTTATAAAAGATTAGATTAGATCCAATCTACAACACATGCATTTTATAGTTTTGCAAATATCTAATTACCCAATCACATTGCAGCAGCAGTTTTATGCAGTTGCACATGGATTGAGGAAGAAAGCTGATTCAATTTACGTCGAGCATGGCATGGTTGTTGGTGCCAGACAAACTGGTACGATTATTTCGTAAACTACTGGTCTACTGGGAATTCTCCACAAAGCCATCTCTAGTTTACAGAGAAAAAGAGAAAATATTCAGGGAGTGTGTTCAAAAATACCTTTTTGATGTCAGAGGAGAGTAG